ACATACACACGCACACACACACACACACACACACAAACACACATCACACACACACAAACACACACACACACACGCACACACACACGCACAAAACACACACACACATACACACACACACACACACACACACACACACACAAAACACACATGTGATAGACCTGGTTTAGTCCTGGTTTAGACCTGGTTTAGACCTGGTTTAGATCTGGTTTACACCTAGGTTAGACTTGGTTTAGACCTGATTACAGACCTGGTTTAGTCCTAGTTTACGTCCTAGTTTAGACCTGGTTTAGACCTGGTTTAGACTTGGTTTAGACCTGATTACAGACCTGGTTTAGTCCTGGTTTAGACCTGGTTACAGACCTGGTTTAGTCCTGGTTTACGTCCTAGTTTAGTCCTAGTTACGACCTAGTTTAAGACCTAGTTTAGACCTGGTTTAGACCTGGTTTTTGGTTTAGTTCTGATTACAGACCTGGTTTCGACCTGTTATAGATCTGGTTTAGTCCTAGTTTAGAACTGGTTACAGTCCTGGTTTAAGTCCTCTTTTAGTCCTAGTTACTACCTAGTTTAGTCCTGGTTTAGACCTGATTTGGTCCTAGTTTAGACCTGATTAAAGACCGGGTTTAGACATGGTTTAGTCATATTTAGACCTGGTTACAGTCCTGGTTTGGTCCTAGTTATGACCTGGTTTAGACCTGTTTTAGTCCTGGTTTAGACCCGGTTTGGACCTGGCTTATTTCTAATTTAGATACATTTTTTTGGCGCTTCTGCAGATTTGAGCAAACACACACAACACACAGATGATAGATGTGGTTTAGTCCTGGTTTAGTCCTGGTTTAGTCCTGGTTTAGTCCTGGTTTAGACCTGGTTTAGTCCTGGTTTAGTCCTGGTTTAGACCTGGTTTAGTCCTAGTTTCGACCTGATTTCAGACCGTTTTGTGTTGTATTTTTTTGTATGAAAAAAGCTCTATAAATAAAGTTTGATTGATTGATCGATTGACCGGGTTTAGACTTGGTTTAGTCAGATTTAGACCTGGTTTAGTCCTAGTTACGGCCTGCTTTAGACCTGGTTTAGTCCTCGTTTAGACCTCTTATAGACCTGGTTTAATCCTGGTTTTGACCTGATTTAGATCAATTTTTTTTTTCATTTGCATCCTGTTGTGTTTTCTTTTTTGCTTTGACTTCACCGCAGATTTGAGCACAAACACACAACACACACACACCCACACACACACGCACACACACACACACACACACACAAAACACACACACACACACATCCACACACACACACACACACATAACGCACACACTGCAAACAAGTGAACCAAGAGCGTTTTTAAACTGTCTTTTATGCTTTGACTCTTCTGCAGATTTAAACACACACACACACACATGTTATAGACCCGGTTTAGACCTGGTTTCGTCGTATTTAGACCCGGTTAGTCCTGTTTTTTCCTAGTGATGACCCAGTTTAGACCCGGTTTAGACCTCATTTAGTCCTGGTTTAGTTTAGACCCAGTTACAAACCTTGTTTAGACAGTTTGTTTTTTTTACATTTGCATCTTAGTAACTGTCTTTTGCGCTTTGGCTCCTCCACACATTTAGACACACGCACACACACACACACACACACACACACACACACACACGCGCACACACGCACACACACACACGCACACACACACACACACACACACACACACACACACACACACACTCATTCACCACAGAAGTGTTAAACTGAACCAAGAGCGTCATCAGGAAGAACTTTGCCGATAATGAACACACACACAAACACAACACACACACTACACACACACTACACACACACAACACAACACACAACACAAACACAAACACACACACTACACACACACACTACACACACAATGCACGTGTGATAGACCTGGTTTAGACTTGGTTTAGTGATAATTTAGACCTGATTACCGTCCTGTTTTAGTCCTAGTTTAGACCTTCTTTAGACCTGTTTTAGTCCTAGTTTAGACCTTCTTTAGACCTGTTTTAGTCCTAGTTTAGACCTTCTTTAGACCTGTTTTAGTCCTAGTTTAGACCTTCTTTAGACCTGTTTTAGTCCTAGTTTAGACCTTCTTTAGACCTGTTTTAGTTCTAGTTTTAGTTTAGACCTGTTTTAGTTCTAGTTTAGTCCTAGTTTAGACCTTTTAGTTCTAGTTTAGTCCTAGTTTAGACCTGTTTTAGTTCTAGTTTAGTCCTAGTTTAGACCTGTTTTAGTTCTAGTTTAGTCCTAGTTTAGACCTGTTGTTTTTTACGTTTGCATCTTGTTGTGTTGTGATTTTAATAACTGTCTTTTTTGCTTTGGCTTCTCTGCAGATTTGAGCAAAGACACACACACACACACACACACACACACACACACACACACACACACACACACACACACACACACACACACACACACACACACACACACACACACACACACAACACACACGTTATAGATCTGGTTTAGACCTGGGTTAGACTTGGTTTAGACCCGATTACAGACCAAGTTTAGACTTGGTTTAGTCATATTTAGGCCTGGTTACAGTTCTATTTTAGTCCTAGTTTAGACCTGCTTTAGACCTGGTTTAGATCTACTTTAGACCTGCTTTAGACCTGGTTTATTTCTACTTTAGACCTGCTTTAGACCTGTTTTAGTCCTAGTTTAGACCTGCTTTAGACCTGGTTTAGTTCTGCTTTAGACCTGCTTTAGACCTGTTTTAGTTCTACTTTAGACCTGCTTTAGACTTGGTTTAGTTCTACTTTAGACCTGCTTTAGACCTGGTTTAGTTCTACTTTAAACCGATTTTTTTTACATTCGCATCTTGATGTGTTATGATTTTAATAACTGTCTTTTTTGCTTTGGCTCTTCTGAAGATTTCAGCGCACACACACAACACACACACACACACACACACACACACACACGATGTACACATACACACACACACACGATGCACATGTACACACACGCACATAACGCACACACACTCATGCACCACTAAAGTGTTAAACTGCACCAAGAGCGTCGTCACGAAGAGCTTTACCGTCGTTGCTCTGGACTTTAAGGTTTTTATTTACACATTTTAACATTTTTAATTCCTCAACATTATTTCTCGTGCAATTTGAGTTCAGTTTCATTGCTAATTATTTCCATTTATGCATATTTGTAATTGTTTAAATGTATTTATTGCAAGATTAATTTGCTAAATGTGTTTTTAAAATATGGATAAGCTGATAAAATATGAAATAATGTTCTAAAATGTTCCGGAAATAGTTGTTTATAATTGTTAATGTCAGTGTTTTTCTTTCTTTATGTCAAGTGTAAGTTTTATTTCAGCAGAATTTACAGATTTTAAACAGAAATACAAATGAGCAGATAAAATGTTGTAGTGTTTTTGCATTTTTTTCAAACCTGCTCAAACACACAGACTCAAACACAACATTTTGATATATTAACGCAGAATAATATAGTCTGATAAGTAAAGAAATTAATGGTTTATGTGTTAAATCAAAATGTAAATATGTAAATTTAAACTTAATGTCATTTGAGAAGTTGTAGCTGTATTTTTTTTAATTTGGTGTTCACATTTCTGACAAAAGAATGCCACTTTTTAGAAAACGCTTGCCTAAATTGTTAATAAACCGAAACCAAACTTGCATTTTGTATTTTTGTATTTGTTGTTTCATGTTTTGTGTGAATAAAAGATTATATTTTTAGAGTTTAAATCTTTCGTGCGTAAAAAAACGTGTGTGGAGATGATTCATTTGATACAAAGAAGGTAAAAATACGATTACACTGCTGATATTATTTATAATTTTAAAACAAAAGCTGCTTCTGACATCACACGTTTTTGAGCCACTCCGTACAAAGTCTCTTCACACATCAGCAGCCGAAGTTGGGTCGTGTTTGCAGAAGAGGAAGTGGTTAAGTTGGGCTAAAAGTTCCTCTCTCTTTCGCCTTCACCACGCTGGGCGTTGTTAACAACTTTCATAGTCAGTCAGCAACAACCGTCTCCGTTTAACACGACTCATTTCTCTGAACGAGGGCGCGCGGGTCCTGACCTGAGCCGGGAACGAGCAACGGAACCGCCGAGAAACGCGCTTTTACGCACGGGGGGATCCTCTGGCACAGTTATCCGTCATTTCCACATCAATTCTGGTTCATTTACGAGTTTGTTTTGACCTCTGACTGTTTCATTATTTGGTTTTCTAATTTCTGTTGCTTAAATCATTTTTGTTTAGCCATCTGAAGCGTCTGTTGTTGTGATTTTACGCTGTGCAAAATAAATAAAATGAATTGAAAAAAACTTGGCGAAGAATTTCTACAAAGTGCGCACTGCTTCCTGTTTTACGCACGGCTCTGAAACTTCCACTTGTACATGTGCCAGACTGAAAACGACTTATTAGAATTACACACGTCCAAATATTCACATTTAGTCGATTTTTTTCCGAGTTTTAATTCTAAAGAAGCCGCGTGAGTGAGAGGAGAGCGCGCGCCTTCGCTGCAACAGGTGCCAAAGCGCTGCGTAAAACCGCTCAATTCTTTAAAATAAACGGATAAAACTTTAAAACACACAAACAAATGTTAAAAAAAGAAAACATTTAAGCATAATATTGTGGTAAATTTCAAAAATTACCGGGAAAGCACGTGTCCTGGTTTCCAAGTTGGAAAAGGCGCATGGAAAAGTCGCTTGAAAGTTTGAAATCGGGTAAATTCTAAACAAATGAGAATTAAATTGATTAAATCGGTGTTTAATAAATAAATTATTGCTTTTGATGAGTAGATTAAGACAGAATAACGCGCGTAAACCCGCTGTGACGCTCGGTGCACCTGCTTTGAAAAGTACAGGAAGCATTTTTTCCAGTGAAATCCTCCCTCCAAAGTTATCCCCAACTTTTACGCGATGATTAAAAGTTCACCCGGGTTTATTTTCGGAGCTAAACCCGGCTCGGTGAGTGTGTTTCCCCCCCGCGCGTTACCTGCTATCCCTTGCGTTTGCAGTATGAAGTTCTTCCAGCTCTCCCCAGTTCCATACGCGGCAGGTCTGAAGGCAGCGGCGGCCCCCGGGAGCTGCACACGCGGTCCCTCCCCTCGCCACTGCACTTCCTCGTTCCAGCCCAGCATCGTTTCGTCTGCACGGAGCCCGACGGGTAACCGGGGCTTTTTATCCACGCGGCTCCGCTACAGCTGCCCGCGCACTGGACGCATGGATGGAGCCTGCGCCAGAGCCGTGCCGTGCCGTGCCAATGAGAGCGCTGACAGGCTGAGCATCACTGGCAGCCATGCGTGAGATGGGATGAGACCGGGCCCGTTCATTGTTTATTTATTTCATTTAAAGAGAGAAAAAAAAAAAAAAAAAAAAAAAAAAAAGAAAAAAAGAAAAGAGGAAAGAGGAGGGGGGCGCGGTGGGCCTGATGCTGAGACCCGCAGTCCGAGAATTAACTCAGGTTTGAATGAGTGAAAATGTCACTGAAGTGTCCCGAAACACTCAGGATTTACTGGTTTAGTTTAGTTTGATCATAATTGGACTAAACCAGGACTAAACTCTGAACTGAAACCAGAATGTGGAGTTTTAAATGACTGATTCTGTTACTGTCGTGTCCTAAAATACATCGGATTCTGTTCAAATAGCTGGAATTTTGCTGGTTTAGTTTAATTTTGCACATTATTGGACCGAACCAGGACTAAAAAAGTCAGTTCCAAAGAATTAATATGGACGTTTAAATGAATATTTGTTACTGTAATGTCCCAAAATATTTAGGATTCTATTCAAATACTCAACATTTTACTGGTTTAATTTAGTTTTGCTCATAATTGGATTAAACCAGGACTAAAATCAAAAGTCGGTGGGTTTTAAAGAAGCAAATACAGATGTTTAAATGACATTATGTTACTGTAGTGTCCCATAATACATCAGATTCTGTTCAAATAGTCAACATTTTCTGGTTTAGTTTGATCAAAATTGAACTAAACCATGACTAAACTCTGAACTGGAGTCAGAATGTGGAGATTTAAATGATTGATTCTGTTACTGTCGTGTCCCAAAATACATCGGATTTGACTCAATTAGCTGGAATTTTGCTGATTTAGTTTAGTTTTGCACATTATCAGGACTAAATTCAAAAGCCAGTGGGTTCCAAAGAAATGAATATGCACGTTTAAATGACTTTTTGTTACTGTAGTGTCCCAAAATATATCGGCTTCTATTCAAATACTCAACATTATGCTCATTTAGTTTAGTTTTGAACATAAATTGACTAAATCAGGACTAAACTCAAAAGCCGGTGAGCTCCAAAGAAACAAATACAGATGTTTAAATTACATTTTGTGGAGTTTTAAATGACTGCATCTCTTAATATAGTGTCTTAAATACATCGGATTCTGTTCAAATAGCTGGAATTTTGCTGGTTTAGTTCATTTTAATCAAAATTGGACTAAACCAGGACTAAACTCAAAAGCCGGTGGGTTCCAAAGAAACAAATACAGACGTTTAAATGATGTTTTGTTAATGCAGTGTCCCAAAATACATCGGTTTTCTGTTCAAATACTTAATGCTCAATAGTTTTGAGCATAATTGGACTAAACCAGGACTAAAATCAAAAGCCAGTGGGTTCCATAGAAATTAATAAGGACATTTAAATGACATTTTGTTAATGTAATGTCCCACAATACTTAGAATTTTGTTCAAATACTCAACATTTTGCTGGTTTATTACATAATCCAACTAAACCAGGACTAAAAAGCCAAAAGCCAGTGGGATCCAAAGAAATAAATACAAACGTTTAAATGACTTTTTGTTAATGTAATGTCCCAAAATACATCAGATTTAGTCTAAATGGTCAAGGTTTTGCTGGTTTATTTTAGTTTTGTGTATATTTGAAATACACTGGCTTTTGAGTTTAGTCCTGGTTTAGTCCAAAGAAATGAACACCCACGTTTAAATGACTGTTTGTTATGGTAGAGTCGAAAATACACAGGACTGTATTCAAATACTCAACATTTTCTTGGTTTAGTTTGCTCAAACTTGGACTAAACCAGGACTAAACTCTGAACTGAAACCAGAATGTGGAGTTTTAAATGACTGATTCTGTAACTGTCGTGTCCTAAAATACATGGGATTCTGTTCAAATAGCTGGAATTTTGCTGGTTTAGTTTAATTTTGCACATTATTGGACCGAACCAGGACTAAAAAAGTCAGTTCCAAAGAATTAATATGGACGTTTAAATGAATATTTGTTACTGTAATGTCCCAAAATATTTAGGATTCTATTCAAATACTCAACATTTTACTGGTTTAATTTAGTTTTGCTCATAATTGGATTAAACCAGGACTAAAATCAAAAGCCGGTGGGTTTTAAAGAAGCAAATACAGATGTTTAAATGACATTATGTTACTGTAGTGTCCCATAATACATCAGATTCTGTTCAAATAGTCAACATTTTCTGGTTTAGTTTGATCAAAATTGAACTAAACCATGACTAAACTCTGAACTGGAGTCAGAATGTGGAGATTTAAATGATTGATTCTGTTACTGTCGTGTCCCAAAATACATCGAATTTGACTCAATTAGCTGGAATTTTGCTGATTAGTTTAAAAGTTTAAAAGCCAGTGGGTTCCAAAGAAATGAATATGCACGTTTAAATGACATTTTGTAAATGTAATGTCGCAAAATACTTAGAATTTTGTTCAAATACTCAATATTTTGCTGGTTTATTACATAATCCAACTAAACCAGGACTGAAATCAAAAGTCGGTGGGTTCTAAAGAAACAAATACAGACATTTAAATGACTTTTTGTTAATGTAGTGTCCTAAAATACATCAGATTCTGTTCAAATAGTCAACATTTTCTGGTTTAGTTTGATCAAAATTGGACTAAACCAGGACTAAACTCTGAACTGAAGCCAGAATGTGGAGATTTAAATGGCTGCTTCTGTTAATATAGTTTCCCAAAATACATCGGATTATCTTCAAATAGCTGTATTAGTTTATTTTAATCAAAATTAGACTAAATCAAGACTAAAATCAAAAGCCAGCAGGTTCCAAAGAAACAAATACAGATGTTTAAAAGACATTGTGTTAATGTAGTGTCCCAAAATACATCGGTTTTCTGTTCAAATATCCAACATTTTGCTGGTTTAGTTTAGTTTTGAACATAAATCGACTAAAATCAAAAGCCAGTGGGTTCCAAAGAAACAAATACAGATGTTTAAATGACAACTGTACATCCCAAAATATATCAAATTCTGTTCAAATAGCTCAGATTTTAGTTCAGTTTTACACATAATTCGACTAAATCAGGACTAAAATCAAAAGCCAGTCTGCTAGCGTTCCAAAATACATCAGATTCTGTTCAAATAGTCAACATTTTCTGGTTTAGTTTTATCATAATTAGACTAAACCAGGATTAAACTCTGAACTGAAACCAGAATGTGGAGTATTAAATGACTGATTCTGTTAATGTAATGTCCTAAAATACATCAGATTCTGTTCAAACAGCTGGAATTTTGTTGATTTAGTTTAATTTTGCACATTATTGGACTAAAATCAAAAGCCAGTGGGTTCCAAAGAAATGAATATGCACGTTTAAATGACGTTTTGTTAATGTAATGTCCCAAAATACTTAGGATTCTGTTCAAATACTCAACATTTTGCTGGTTTAGTACATAACCCGACTAAACCAGTGCTAAACTCAAAAGCCAGTGGGATCCAAAGAAATGAATAAAGAAAGAAATGACTGCTTCTGTTACTGCAGTGTCCAAAAATACCCCAGATTCTGTTCAAATAGCTGAAATTTTGCTGATTTAGTTCATTTTAATCAAAATTGGACTAAACCAGGACTAAACTCAAAATCCAGCAGGTTCCAAAGAAACAAATCCAGACGTTTAAATGACGTTTTGTTAATGTCGTCTCCCATAATACAAAGGACATTTTGCTGGTTTTGTTTAATTTTCAACATAATTGGATTAAACCAGGACTAAAATCAAAAACCAGTGGGTTCCAAAGAAATGAATATGGACGTTTAAATTACTGAAAATGTTAGCGTAGTGTTCCAAAATACATCGGATTCTCTTCAAATACTCAAAATGTTTCTGGTTTAGTTTAGTTTTGCACATTATTTGACTAAACCCGAACTAAAATCAAAAGCCAGTGGGTTCCAAAGAAGTAAATATAGACGTTTAAATTACTTTTTGTTAACGTAGTGTCCCAAAATACATCAGATTTTTTTTTTCAAATTGCTTCGATTTTACTGGTTTAATTTACTTTTATCAAAATTGGACTAAACCAGAACTTAAATCAAAAGCCAGTGGGATCCAAAGACATGAATATGAACGACGTTTAAATGACTTTTTATGTTACTGTAGTGTCTCAAAAAACATCAGATTCTGTTCAAATACTCAACATTTTGCTGGTTTAGTTTAACTTTGCACATTATTTGACTAAAACAGGACTAAACTCTGAACTGAAACCAGAATGTGGAGTTTTAAATGACTTCTTTTGTTACTTTAGTGTCCAAAAACAACAGGATCCAGTGCGTCCTTTTCAATACTGGACATTTTAATGGTTATTTTAGTTCATTTATATTACTTTTTTTCCTGGAGATTGATCCTAACCTTAACCAGTAACTTAACTTAAACCCAAACTTGTTTCAACTCACAAAAAATAAAATAAAAAAAAGGATTATGTGAGTTTTAAACCGTGTTATAAAGCTGTTACCTCCTCAAAAACAAACCCGGAGTTGTGTTTTATTTCCTTCACACGGCCTAGAAAAGCAGATTTTGTGTGAATAAAACAAAAATAAAACAACTCCGGGTTTGTTTGCGACAAGAAAATTCTAACATAGATCAGAAAATCGTCTTAATTTAAGTGGCGCTTTAATATTCAAACTGAAACTGAGTCATTTTCTCCTGAATCCAACCGTCAGTTTTACCTGGTAATTGTCAAATCTGTCGTCTATTAAAACTGGGCTCATAAATCTGGACGGAGCATTAATATTGATGAGTGATAAATGAATCATGAGTGACACTTCGACTCTGTCATTATCAGCTCTCGTCTGATACTGATGATACTTACGTTAAAGGGAAAATATTGCACTGTTTTCTGTTTCCTCATCACAAACAGACCTGGAGTTGTGTTTTTTGGATCAATTCGGTGTTGGAATTGTTCATCTCTACTGAATTAAATGTAAAAAGAAGCTGTTGCCAACACAACTCCAGGTCTGTTTTTGAGGAAGGAACAATATTCCAACAT